AAATTTTTGTCTCCATCAGGGAAAAGTCTCACCTAGAGAAGAAACACTGCATTCTTCACTCCTGCAAATCATGAGAAAAAGAAAGTTGAAGCCTAAAATCCCTGCTTTTCCAATGTTACCAGTAACTCACGGTGGAGCCTCAGCAACACATTTCCCTGTTACGCATCATCCTATCCCTCCTCTGTCTCTCCCTCCTCTGTCTCAGGGCGTCTGTGGTGGTTGGTGTAATAGTTGCAAAATACTTTGAGCCCTTCAGAAAGAAGGTGCAGGAGCGCAGCATGCTAGCTCATGAAATATTAAAAAATGTTATGCCAAGCATCTTTTAAAATTATACTTACTTTAAAAATTAATGCAAATATGCTGCTGAAATAGTTGGGTTTTTCTAATTGGGGGCTGTATTCTTTTAGCTACTCTTCATAAATGACTGTGTTAATTAAGCCACTGAAGCCACAAGTAGAGCAAGCCAGGCTGTAAAAGGTTAATGCTTAATTACTACACAGGAGATTGTGTACTGAAATGTACATTCAGGCCAATAGATGTGAAGGGAGGAGATGAACTCAGGTCTACCTAGGGAGTAAAAGAGTGTTTTTCTGTTTTGCCAATTCGTTACATATTTTGACTCCTAATGCAGAAATCAGTCCATCTACATATGTGGCCACTATCTGAGGAATTTACTTAAGATATTCTAAACAATTGAAACTATTCACTTATCTGGAGATAAACAGATTAAAACCCCAAGCCAAAGGGAATTTACTTTTCCTGGTCGTCAAAGCCACCCCAGCAATATCCTTGGAGCTTGAGAATAATAGGGACACCACCTACGCATTCAATTTGGTCAAAGAAAGAAGTCATTTGACAAGTTGATTGTAATACATGTGAGCTCTCATACATCTTATTATAACATGTATTGTGACATCATGTATGGAAGAAATACTGCATTTCTTAATTTTATGTAAATCACCTTCAATTTGACTTGGAACCACTCTTCCCCTAGAATGGCGGGAAGTTGAAGCTCAGTCATTCTTGGCTTCCTCCACTTCGCAGAGCAGTGCAAGTCTTAGGTGGGACCTAGGGCCTGGGGGGGCTCCATGGGCTCCAGTCATTGGTTTACACCAACTATTTCACATAGTGCTTTTGCTGCATGCACTCTGGAGAGTTTGGAACCCTTGCTTCTTGGGCCTTGCTCCTTCCGTGGAGTAGCTGCCAAAGAGCAGAGTGAGGGCACAGGGCCTTGCTGCCCACAGCACTGAAAGGACACTCTCCATGTTTTCCTTAGTAGCTCTCCCTTCTGCTTTTTCAAAGATCATGGGCATAATTGTCCAACTGGTCTTAGGTTTTAAAACTCAAAACTATCAAGGTAAGTGTTTTTTTAGGCTTTTATGTTCTGCTTTGCCATGAATATTTCCTAAGACAAAAAAAAAAATACAATGACAGCCTTCTTAAAGAAGGAAGAGAGGGGGAAATGCTGAATGCAAAGCTTAATCCCCTCCCCCAAAAATGCTGCATGTATTTTTAAATATTGAATTACCAGTATATTGGTTTTAATAGCCCTGTATCATCTTAGGTTCATAGTCAAGTTCACGTTCAAATGAGGTGCAACATACATGTTATTTGTTAAATCTGTTCAGCAAAATGCATCATCCTTGAATGTTAGGCTCTGTCAGAGGTGTATAGAGGACTTAACAATTTTATCACAATGATGTAGAAAATTTGGAGAAGCTAAACAGGGACTGAAATCTCTAGTATAAACAAAATTCTGATTGCATTTTGTTTTTGCAGGCATCTCTTCAGAGGTCACAATTAAGAGCAAAATTAAAGCTTGGGAATCCAGTGGTTAAAGTATAAATCAATGTCTTTCTAATGATACAGCCAACTTTCTGAATATGAAGCATGATAACCATTCTTTTTCACACTAGAATGACATGCAAGGTTCCTGGTAATGTAGCCATAGGAACAAGGGAGAGGAGGTTTACCATCGATTTTATCATAGGAAATTGCCTTCCCTTTACGATCTCAGTGCTCATCTAAGCCCAAAGAATTACCACCACCACCACCCCCCCACTTCCTATGAAAACTATACACTCACACAACTACTTTTCCTCACACTTTCCTTCTTGCTTCCAAATAGGGGCTGTATTGTGACATCCGTCAGCTGGTCCAATTTATCAAAGAGGCTCATGGGAATGTCTTCAGGAGAGTGGCCCTCAGCGCTTTACTTGACAGTGCGGAGAAGTTGGCACCAGGGAAAAGGGTGGAGGAGAATGAACCAGAATCTAAGCCTGTAGGCAGCAAAAGGTTGGAAGCTTGAGCTCTCTGAATATAAGTGTTTGCCTGTGTCTGTAGAATATAATCTTCTATTGCATGTCCATGTGGTTCCGAACACCGTGTGTAACTCCAGTGCAGAGTTACTTTTGCATAAATGGAATCATGGATGGTGGTCCAGCTGCAGCTTAGAAAAGGAATGAGTTTACCATCAAATAAGTCCTGTCTCTGTATGAAGCAGAGCTCAGTTGATCCCAAACTTCCATGCACTTAAACTGCCCTTCATAGCTCTTACTTACGTATTTAATCTGTGTTTTGTTTCTTCTATAGAGAATAAAAATTTTTGTTCAGGAAGAAAAAGCAATTACTGCTACCAGTAAATGATATTTTTAACACATCAAAAGATGAATTGCTAAACAGAACTCTGCTGTTTTTATTTCGAATAAACATACATTTATTGTATGCCTATTTTATGAAAAATGCCACTTACAAAGATGAAAAGAAAATCCTAAACTTAAAATCCTGCCTGCAGTTAATGATTCTGTTAGCAATAGTGGAATTCTTGGGCAATAGGTAGCTGGGTCATGAGTCAAATGGTAAGGTATAAATTCCATACCAACATAGATTCTGTTGACATGGGGTTTGCAAGCCATATAGTTGTCTAGAGTGGAGTGTTGTGAACTATACGAGATACTGAGAAGTGGTGTCCTGCTCTGTTGTGATTGGTGGAATGCACCATTTGCTTAGGTCAGAGGCAGGAAGCGTTGTGGATAAAGGCCAAGTGTCCTCTGCACCTGAGGAATGTCGCAGCTTCATATCTGGTCGACCCTCGCAGACTCCAGAGCAGTAAGTAGCATTGGTTTTGTGTCCAATGTAGTGGGCTGAGCACTTCCCAATGGAAGAAATTTTATTTTCCAAACTGCTGTTTGTTGATGTTGTTGTTGTTGTTTTAAACTTTGCCTTGCTTCTGCCCTTTACTTTTCATTCCCAAAGCCATTCATCTCTACAGAATCAAATCATAAATAATCAACCTCGTGCCTATAGGAAGCCTCTGATATTAGTTTATCTCTACTTTTCATAATGGCAAAATCAAAAGCATCTTGAAATTAGTGTCCCCAGAAAATGTGAAGATTACTGTAGATATTAGATAAACAGCCTAGGCTCATTTGCATTAATTCTTTTGATTTTTTTAAATCCTCATCTAAGGACAGTTTCATTGCTTTTTAGAGAGAGGGGGAGGGAGGGAGGGAGGGAGAGAGAGAGAGAGAGAGAGAGAGAGAGAGAGAGAGAGAGAAGAGGGAGAGAGATGTAAGAGAGAAACAGATTGGCTGCCTCCCCCATGTTCCCCAACCAGGGCTGGGGATCGAATACCACAACCCAAGCATGTGCCCTGACCAGGAATCAAACCCATGACCTTTCTGTATGGGACAATGCTCCCACCAACTGAGCCACACTGGCCAGGGCACATTAATTCTTCTTTTGAGGACTGCTTGCACAAGTGGCATAATCAATATTTAAAATGTGTACATCCTTTTAAGTACATCATTTTACTTCCCAGAACCCTGATTTACTATTAAATAATCATCCTTCCAGAAATTCTGCAGGTAGTGGAGCTTTTATGGTATCCTCTCTCCATAGTCAAGAATATTAGTCATCAAATGGGACCTTGGTAATAATCTACTGCAAGCAAACAAAACCTTTAAAGGATAAAAAGCCCTCACAGTTGGGATAGCCCTTGAAAAATCTTAGAGACTGCCCTAAATGGGTAGAGAAACGTGAGAAGTAAATTAACTCTATAGGCCCAGGGACCATGTGCGTTTTTGCCTGCCAGGATAGCCCCAATGCCTAGATGGTGTTTGGCACATAGTAGGCACTTAATATGTATTTGAATGAATAAATGACAATCAATCAATGAAAAGATAAACTTGACAGATTACCCTTAAACCTTTGTTTTCTTTAACTTTTTCAAAATTGAGGTTTAGTTTTTTCTTTAAGGAAGTCTTCAAGGAAATGGTAAAAATCCATATGTAAGCTCTAGGAAAAAAGAAAAATTAATGTGAAAAGCAAAGTTCTATAGCTGAATAGCCACAAGACTAGTTAAAAATCCTTATACACAGAATCTGTCTGAAAAAGCAGGACTTTTTTCCAAAATCATTCTAGCAATTATTGAGCTAATCTGATAAGAATTATCTAATAGTAAATCGAATTAAGAAATAAAACCATTTATCTTCCTAGGTAATTTAGTTTTGTAGACTGCAAAATATTCTCTTTCTTCAGTATTCTGTAAACCCCACCTGATTTCTCAGCATTTAGCTCCTCTCTTCTTTCCCCTTGAATGAAGATACATGTTTTACTAGGCCTCTACATAAAAATTTCCACTTGAGGGGATGTCATAGAATGTCAGATATAGACCTTTTCCCTGACCTGAGTTGGCCCAGGAGATGGGCATGCCAAATGTCTTCTGTTTAGCATTGGAGAAAGATGGGTAGATGGATGAGTCTGGCTCCTCCTTTATCTTCTCCTTCTTTCTCCTCCCTTCCCCTCCCCTTCTTACCTTTTCTTCTCCTTCTCCCTCCTTAAATAAGTCACTTTAATGGAATAATATAAAAAGCAGTTTTATATGCTCTTTTCTCTGAAACTACTTACTGATACACACTCATTGAACAAAGCTGATGTAGCATTTATTGAGAAAGCTGATAAATTACAGCCTCCATGAATGTTTTCCCACCCAGATCATGTAGTCATGTATTGCACATTCCCCAAAGGTAAGAAATGCTTCAGGCACTGTGATCATTTTATAAAAATAACTGAGAAGTCAAGTTCAAAAACATTGATTTGATACCATATTTGATAAACAGATTTCCCTGGTTTAAAATAAGAATAAAATTCATACCATATTTGATAAACAGATTTCCCTGGTTTAAAATAAGAATAAAAGGTATTTAGTTCTCTGATGAGATTTTGAATGACAAAATATGGATCCCCATTAAATATCTCTAGAAAATCATTGCTTTACACAGTATTATCAAGTTTGGGGTAGATTCCAAATTTAACTCCAAAGCTTTTAAGCCTCAAATCCCATGAACAAATTTTTATCATGTTACTAGGTATTTTCTATAACCTTCTCTTTCCAAATTACTAAAGTCATATATGTTGTTCAAATTGATGAATGTGGAAAACACAGAAAAGCATAGAGAAAAATAGTTTTGAAACCAGAATGCCATCAACTGGAGACAATTAATGTAAACTTTTGGTATTTTTTTTGGGTACATTTTTTAGCATATATACACATAAGCTCATACTCAGACACATGCGTACATGTGTACTTTTTAAATTATTATTAACCTGGTCTTATCCTGTCTAATTTATTTGATCATTGTTTTTTAACTTTTCACTATATCTTCAACATTTTCCATATCAATAATTTTCTAAAATCGGATTTTAATGTCTATGGAGCGTGTCATTATATGGAAGTCCCATAATTTATTTTAACTGTATCCCTAGAGTTGAACATTTAGATTGTTTTCAGTTTTCAGTGTTGATCAATAATACCTCAGTGAGCATTTGACCCATTTGTATGTTAGCATGTTGTCCCATCATTTCCTTGTGATAACTTCCTGGAAGTTGAATTTTTCAATCATGGGTGTAGATATAGGGTTTGGATAACCAAATTACCTTCCAGAAAGGTTTAATCATTGTAAGGCATTGCTCGCAGTATGATAGTAACCATTGCTTTCCTTTTTACCCCCATAATGTTTGCCAACTTGATGAGTGAAAATGGGGACCTCATTTTAACAATCTTCTTTTAAAATTCCTAGTGAGATTAAAGTCTGCATAAAATTGGCCTCTTATCTCTTTTCTCTTGTGAAATGCCCTACTCAAAAATCTCTTTGAAGGTGTTCCCATTTGTTTTACTGTATAGGACTAATATTTTTACTTTAAAAAAAAATTGATTTTAGAGAGAAGAAGGTAGAGGGAGAGAGGTATAAAAACATCAGTGATGAGAGAGAATCATTGAAGGGCCCTGACCAGGAATCAAACCATGACCTCCTGGTTCATGGGTTGATGCTCAACCACTGAACCACATCAGCTGCGGCAAATATTTTTACTTTTAAACCTTACTTAAGTTTCTTTGACTAAAGTAAGCCAAATAATTTGGCATTCTGAAAATAATTTAGTGAACAATTGTTGAATGATTCATCCCTTGGGTGTGGTGATTACATTTCATTTATTCAAGTACTTTTTGTGAGTTTTTTAATGTCAAGAATTATACTAAACTGGAGTGAGGGTGGGGAGTAAGATACAATTGTGCACATGCCTCAGGGAACTTCCAAAAGCAGTTAAATATTTACTGTCTCTGTAAGTGCTGCTGCTATTATGACTCACACCTGCAGATGAATACCTGCAATAAAATTTAGTCTTTTTATTAAGGTTGAAAAAAAGAGTCATTTCAATTTGACATCTGAGACATGACTGTTTTCAGGAAGAACTCAGAGAGTCAACCTTGGTCTTCCTCCTTCCACTCCCACTCTTTCCACATCCCAGCCCTTCAGAGATAAATCCTGCATGAGTTGCCTGTGTGCCATTGGCAGGGGGTTGAAAGAAATTTAGGAGAATTTCACAGTGTATCACATATTTAATTCTCGCCTCTGCTTGCTTTCAGCGATGAACAAATGCAAGGGGGCAACTTGGGGCGGAAGGATTTCTGGCGCAAGATGTTCAAATCCCAGAGTGCAGCAAGTGACACCAGCAGCCAGTCTGAGCAGGACACTTCGGAATGCACCACTGCCCACTCAGGGAACACCTCTGACCGACGCGCCCGCTCACGGTCCCGCAGAATTTCCCTTCGGAAGAAGCTGAAACTCCCCATAGGTAAAAGTATGTCTGTATTTATTTATGGATTCTCTTATTCCATGTCATGCCCGCAAACAAACTCATAATCAAAACAGAGCAATGCATGATAGGATGCAGAAAGGGAAAGCCTTCAAGTGAAAGGCCAAAACTGACTGCATTCATTCATTTACTCATTTTAAACACACACACACACACACACACACACACACACACACTTCTCAAACTCCTACTATGTGCTTCTACAGGGTGCAAACATTATGTTAGGCATCAGGTATTAAATGGTAAGCAAAATTACACAGTGCCCCATTTTGCAGAACTTGCAGTCTAGCAGGGGTGACAGATAATCATGTAACTGAGTATAGTGGCAAACTATGGATTTTATAAAGGAAATATACACAAGGCATCAAATGCATGCAACAATAAGACCTGGCCTTAAAGGGAGAAGGGACAGGAATCACAGAAGATTTCTTAGAGGAAGATCTTTTTTTTCTTTTTCTTTAAAAACAAATATATATATATATGTAAAGGGTGTCCCAAAATTCATGCAAGAAGTAATTTTGATAGAAAACACAGGTTTATAATTAAAAATTGTAAATTTTTTATTGATTCATAAAGTGTATAGTATAGGGTTATGTATGGAATAGCATGTTGGGTAAATGGCCTCCACGGCTTTGCTGGCACATACACACTCTTTTGTTATTGCCTGAGCAGCCGCATTTTCGAAGAATGGTCCGATGATGCCTCCAGCCCAAAATCCTCACCAAACAGTGACATGTTGTGGATGCATTTGTTTCTCAACAATCACTCATGGATTTTCTGAACCCCAAATGCGACAATATTGTCGATTAACCAAGCCATCAAGATGAAAATGAGCCTCATCGAAATTCAGCCACATTTATGCAAAACGGTCATTGAAAATTTCAATAAAAGATTGTGTATGTGCCAGCAAAGCCGTGGAGGCCATTTACCTGATATGCTATTCCATACATAACCCTATACTATATACTTTATGAATCAATAAAAAATTTACAATTTTTAATTATAAACCTGTGTTTTCTATCAAAATTATTTCTTGCATGGATTTTGGGACACCCTTTATATATATATATATATATATATATATATATATATATATATATATATATGATATTTTTTATTGATTTCAGAGAGGAAGGGATAGGGAGAGAGAGAGAGATAGAAACATCGATGTTGAGAGAGAATCATTGATCAGCTGCCTCCTGCACAGCCCCCACTGGGGATGGAGCTCACAGCCTGGGCATGTGCCCTTGACCAGAATCGAACCCGGGATCCCTCAGTCTGCAAGCCAACGCTCTATCTACTGAGCAAAACTAGCTAGGGCTGGAGGAAGATCTTAAGGGAAGGAGGAAGGAGAGCACTCTAGGTGGTAGCCATAAAATATGCAAAAATATTAGGAGGGAGAGAAATCGAAGAGCTGAGCCTAGGAGAAGAGGGGCTGCATGACTATGGTAGAGTGACAGGGGCCAGAGCATGCAGGCCAGTATGGCTCTCTACCCTAAACCCTCCATAGCCCAGGTGGGATGTTGAAGAGTAGTAACATGAGCAGGTAAACTTTTTCTAAAAGATCACAGCATGGAAAGCAGATTGGAGGGAACCCGAGTGGATAAGAGAGAGCGTGGCCCAGGTATGAGGAATGGGAGCTTGGACTGGGTATTGACCATGTAGACAGAGATAAGTGGTCAGGTTTGAGAAGTACTAAAAGGAAAATCAATGGGACTTACTGGAAGATATGAAAGTTGTCAAGGAGAATGGGATATATTATGGTTTAATTCACCTTGGAGGCTTAGGTTCTTTTAGTCCTGGTCTTACTTATTCATGTAATTTTATAGTCCAACTCTGACCATTTAGATTCAAAGCATGTACATTAAAAACAATTTCCTTTCACTTCTATTTATATCAAGCCATTCAACTTTCATTGCTTGTTGGGTACATGCTGGCATTTCTGTTTTAATCCATTTGGGAGAAAATGCTATAATGGTCTGATTTTTTTTTTTTAATTATTAAATAGGGAACTGGCTGAAGCGATCCTCCCTCTCAGGCCTGGCGGATGGTGTGGAGGACCTCCTGGACATCAGCTCTGTGGACCGCCTGTCTTTCATCAGGCAGAGCTCCAAGGTAAACAGGACATTACTTGTGTGGGAGGATGTTGGAGTCGCTGATGAAAAATGGTTAGGGCTGAGAAATGCTAAACACCTGGAGGGGCCAAAGAACATTGAAGAAACTCTCTTTAAGTTGAACAAATTTAGGAAACTTAGTTAGATGAGCAATGAAAACTAAGATCTCTTTAAAATATATATACATATATATATTTTAAATCCTCACCCAAGGATTTTTTCCATTGATTTTTAGAGAGAGTGGAAGAGAGAGGGAAAGACAGAGAGAAATATCAATGTAAGAGAAACACATAAATTGGTTGCACGAGCCCTGATCAGGGTCTGGGGCCGGGGAGGAGCCTGCAACCGAGATATGTGCCCTTGACCAGAATCAAACCCAGACTCTTCAGTACACAGGTTGACACTCTATCCACTGAGCCAAACCGGCTAGGGCTAAGATGTCTTAATAGTAGACATTATAAAGGAAAAGTGTGGCAAAATTTTTATATAAAATTGTAATGCAGATATAGGTGTATGTGTGTGTGTTACTTCCTAGCTGTATTAACTTTTAACACACATGTAAAATTCCTAATATCTCAAGTTTCTTTCCAAGAATACAGTAATTCTATAGTGATGCCTCTTACACACACACTCACACACACACTATTTATTCTTCTCCCACTACTTTTTGCATCAGCTGAACCGTTCTCCCTATTGAAAAAGATAAAGAAACTCAGGATGACTTTTCCCATTAAGTGCTTCTTCATAATACTGTTACGCAATGTAGTAGCATATGATTTGGAACAGGTAATAATTCCCAGGGAAATCCATTTCTTATAAGAGTTTTTCTTATGAATGATTCATAGCCCGACCACTGAAACTTTTAGCTTATGATCAGTTATATTTTTATAGAGAAATTATTTGCTTACATTCTTCCTTCTTTGAATCTTACTAAAACCAGTTTTCTTCTATCTCTTGTAAAAGTAATATTTTGAAATTATATAAAGAATATAGCAACATTATAAGACATTTAGAAGATATATTTATAATTCACGTTTCACATTCTTTATGCTAAAACATTGGCCAGGGATTTGAGAGTTTATGAAGCCCATAGCCTCCTTGCTTTCTTGGAAATTTTGATTACTGTTGGCTTAAGGGCAAGATTGAGAATACATCTTAATTCTTAGAAGAACCCATGTTATTGCAATTTAATTACAGTGTACTTTATAAACAAATTTATACTGGTTCTTCTATGGAGATTTGAAATCTCTATTCTGCTTTCTTTTTGGCCTGATTCTCAATTGTGGTGGTGTTATTTGTAAAGAATGAAGATGGCTTTCTGTTCCTGGTTTTCAGTTTGAATTTAATCAAAATTTAACTCTAGGAATACCTCAATTTTTTTTTACTAAATTATTTTCATAGTGTCTGATTATTTTACTTTCAATCTATGACCAGGATCTTTCTTCAAATTATAGTTACAAAGTATGACTAACCAGATGTGGAAGTCAGAAGTAACCTTCATATTCTAAGCATCTTATTTTTCAAGACAAGGGTTAGAATATACACAAAGAATTGAACTTAGTCATCTGGCTACTTTCCTTTTCTTCTCAGGTCAAATTTACCAGTGCAGTGAAGCTTTCTGAAGGCGGGCCTGGGAGTGGAATGGAAAATGGAAGAGATGAAGAGGAGAATTTCTTCAAGCGTCTCGGTAAGTGTTATGCAGCCTAAGAATTATATTCAGCCCAGCCTGCACGGTTCAGTGGTTGAGCATTGACCTATGAACCAGGAGGTCATGGTTAGATTCCCGGTCAGAGCATATGCCTAGGTTTCCGGCTCAATCCCTGGTGTGGGGCATGCAGGAGGCAGTCAGTAGATAATTCTCTCTCATCATTGGTGTTTCTATCTCTCTCTCCTTCTCCTTTCTTCTCTGAAATCGTAAGAAATGAAATATGGGAAATTTTGATAATTATATTTTAATTGTATTCTGAGCCATTTTTGTACTTATGGAAATTTTCAAACATAGACCAAAAAGTTACGAGAGTGGTCCAACAGATCCTAAATATCCATCACCCACTTGCAATAATAATTAAATTTTTTTCCATATTTGCTTCATCTATCTTTTATGTTTTTTAAATGTATTTTAAAACAAATCTCAGATACCATCCATACTTTTGCCTTTATGCTGAGGCAGCAGGCGGAGAGTGGGGCCACGGGTAGGAGGAATCAGGATATTCTTGACAGAAGAGGTGAGAAAACCATTTCTGGAAATCAGATCTGTGACTTCTCAGTGAGGACCGGGAGTTGGTAACATCATAAATGAATGTCATGAGCATAAATTAAATCAAACTCTAAATCAGTGGGGGGAAGTTTTAGGTGTTGGAAGTATATTTCAGAATCCTGAGGAGTGTGCGCCTGATTTTAAAAATGATATTCAACATAATAACCTTATATAAGAAATTTATATATATATATATTAGAAGCAGAAGAGTCATGAGATATTTAGGTTTTTAAAAAAGAATTTGGGGATAAAAATGATGCAAAACAATACTGTGTACTATTCTTTCCTTAATGTGTGATCCCTTAGACTTTCTGTATCATAATCAGTGGAATGTTTGTTAAAAATAAACATAGCCCTATGGAACCAAAGTCTCTAGCGATGGAACCTGATATTTTGAATTTTAATAAGCTCCAGACTGATTCTTATTTGTAGGCAATTTAAATACGGAAAACTAAGAGGGGAGGGATCAGTGGTCCCCAAACCTCTCACCACAGTGTGTGGTCAGGCTGGCTGCATCGTTGTCATCTGGGTGTCTGTACAAAGCACATTCTTACCCTCTGCTTCCAGAGATTTGGAAGCTCTGGATCAGATTCAGGAACTTCCTAGATAATTCTGATGCTCAGATGGGTTTGGAAATCCTGGAGTTAAATTGCCAACCTCTAAGGTCCTTTACGACTGACTGTAATAATCAGTGGTTCTTTGCAATCAACATATCAAAGTATTGCCCTTGATGTCAGTTTATGTAACATGTGTGAAATTGCACAGTGATTGAATCTTCCATAAAAATAGAAATGAGCTGTTGATTACAGGAAGAATTATTTTAAACATCCAAGAGTTCTCACAAGTATTAAAAAGGAGACCTGGTAGCAAAAAGTATTCAAAATTTTGCTCATGTAAAACCCGTAAAACCTCACATTTACATTTACGTATGCCATGTGCCACCAGACTCCCAAAAGTCAGGGTGTGTCCAAATAAACATTAAAATAAAGAGGAGGGGGGCGGAGTTAGGGAGAATGTCTTCAGGCCAATGCTACAGAAAACCCATTGTTGTCATTTTGAAGCTCTTTTAAATCTGTGATTCTTCACACTCTTTCTCCTTCATTCCTCCACCACAGGTTGCCATAGTTTTGACGACCATCTGTCTTCCAACCAAGATGGTGGAAAAAGTAAAAACGTGGTGAACCTTGGAGCAATCCGACAAGGCATGAAGCGCTTTCAATTTCTGTTGAACTGCTGTGAGCCGGGGACCATTCCTGATGCATCCATCCTGGCAGCTGCCCTGGATCTTGTAAGTTGTTGGAAGAATTTGCTCATCTGGTTCCCCATTCCTATGAATTCTGCTAATGGAGGACAGCATGACTCACTAACCCTGACCCCAACTGTGGGCTTATGTTTTGTTTTGTTTTGTTTCCTCAGCATCAGTGGCAAAAGGAGGAAGAGAGGTGGTAGTGAGGGAAGAAAAGAAAGGGGGGAAATCTTAATATGTTTTGGGAAATAGAATGTATAACATTATGATTAAAAGTATGTGAGGGCTTTTGGAATCAGACTGCCTGGGTTAAAATTGTGCTGGCATTTACTGGCTAAACCTCTGTAAAATAGAGTCAGAGTAATAATAATATTATAGCTATCTCCTAGGGCTGTTGTGAGGATTAAAGGAGTAATTAGATATAAAGCCCTTAATAAAGGGCTTTACTGAATTATAGTGACTGCTCAATAAAGTGGGTCATTATTATTGTTGCACTATTCTTAGTCTTATATCTGTCATGTATTAGTCCTTTAAACTATGAGTCTTGGTTTATCAACTTGTGGGAAAATATGAAGGAAGGATCAATTTAAATTAATTGCACAAAAGTGCATTGAACATAGTGTGGTCCCTATACATGTAAGGGATTAAAGAGTATAAAGTGGATCTTGTTTAGAAAGTGTTTTTGTCAGGTCAACTAGGCCCAGATGTGGGTTTTGAACTCAGCTTTTCAATTTCCTTTATTTATCTTCTGGTTTAATAAACTCTTCATATACTGCATAAATACTTGGAACAAAATACCAAGGAAACATCAAGAAATCTTTTCTTTTCAATTAAAAAGTAATAAAGTAGACTTTTATTTTTAAAAAACACACACACAACCTTAAGCTTGCCTATTAAAATGATCCATTTTCCAGGTTTACAACACATGAATAAGCGACCACTGGCCACTCATATTGTACTTGGAAAATCATCCAAGCCTTATATAATCATCCCAACATAATGTAATCCATGATATCTTTTCTGTGACATTTGCAACTTTTGTTCCCAAGATCCTTAGTGACTGCAAGGTATGTGGATTCACTTAAGCCTGGAATGCAAATACTGTTGTCATCACCAAAAATGATGACGTATCATTATACATGATTTTTCAGTCAGTTTCCCATTCCTAGGTATTGGCCTTTTACAAATATATTTGTGAACTCCAAAATGTTCAGTATATAATGATGTATGCTGTAGTGACTAAAATATAGAATCACAGTGTCCAGGGATGCTGAGCCTGGTGGCAGTTAGACAACCAAGATGCCTGCCTAAAGCTTGACATGGCAAGAAGCCAATCCCTTGTTTTGTAAGTGGGAGAGTGGTAACTAGCCCGTCACTCATTTGATTCATGCATGGTTCTTCTTAATCACATCTGGATCTATTCCACAAGAAACAGATTTAAATAAATAAATGTAACAGATTAATAAAAAAATATATAAACAATTGAATGTTTAAAAAACAGGTGGGTACATGAACAGCCAGTTCAGCAGAAAAACTAATAGCTAATAAGGTATGCCCCATTTTACTTAGAGTTAAGAAAGGCTCATTACAATGTTCATAAATTCCAATTTTTCAACTATCTGAGCTGCAATGATTAGAACGTGTTGACTTGGTATAAAATACCAGACACCACTACATGGAGTTGGTAGCAGTGGAATCAGCAGGATTTGATTGGGAACAGAAGGAAGTCTTGGAATAACAGGTGATAGTGACAGAGCAATAATGGTGAGTGGAGCACTCGTTGGCCCCTCCATCAATGGAGTAATTTTGGACAGAAAGTAGTCACAAAGGAGGGGCAGGTCTTAACATATCCATTGTATCAAATGACTTGGGTAGTGGAATTAAAAAGCCTGGAGTCAGTGTGGCTTATAAGCTACTCACCATATAATAATTAATTAACTCAACCAATGTCTATTGAGAGCTTCCTATGTGTTGCCAGATCTGGTGGTAGCTGTTAATGATAACAGAACAAAATTCAAAGGAGAGCTTCACTTGCTTTCCACCTTTCCTTATGAAGATTATATTTGTGTAGTGACCTATTTCCCTGGCATCCTAATGATCAGCATTCTAAAGTTGATAAACAAATGAGTAACATTTATTGTGTGCCTACTTTGTTTCCAAAGGGAAAGAAACTAGGAGCTCAGAAAGACCAACTAACAGGCCAGGGCTACAAAGCCAGCAAGGGATAGAGGCAGATCTGGAACCTGGGTCTGTCTTCACAGACCCTATATTTTCTACTCCACCATGTTCACTCTCTCATTTAAATATTATATGAGAGCACGATAGGAACTTAGTTTTAAACATGCAAAATAATAAATGCTTTATCTTTTTTGCCTGATAGTTTAAAAGTGATTAAGAAAGTAAAATGACAGGAGCTAGTTGAACAGCTGCTAAATACACAACAGCAATAACAGTTGTGCATTAGCACTTCACAGATGGTTTGAGCTTGAGGTGTTCCAAAGGTAGTGTTGTGTCTCTGTCTCAATCCTAAAGTCACAACTACTTTGGAAGTTTTTAAAGGAATAAGCCATCAAATTTCTTAAGCAACTGCCCTTTAAGATTAAGAAAAATAATAATAAATCATATCATTTCAACCTACTGAGGAAAAGTTGAGAGAAATATATAGGCACAGCTGGCCATACAAATTGGAAAACGATGGGGTAATCGATAGCATTTGGACAACTATCAGTGCAGTAAGTAACTAATGACAGAGATAACAGATTGTCCTTCACTCATTGGAAAGGTCTAGGCCCCACACTTTCCGAGGTCCTGAGCTAAAATCTCCACATCGATATTTATCATTCAATTAATTTATTGAATAGCTTTTCTTATTCACACATTTTTCACTTGAGAGAACAAAAACCCCAAGAGCTGAGATGACTTTGCTCAAGGTTACATATGCCAGCCAGTGCTAAAACTATCAGCCAGTTTTCTTATTCTCTTCAGGGCTCTTCCAGCAATATCATATGCTTTCTCTGTTAAAAATTTACTTAAATGAATCAGAATGAGTCTCTCTTGATTCATTAAAAATATACTTGCATGTATATGATCACTATAATAAAAAAAAAGTTGTGAATGGCCTTTAATGATCCAAAAGCATTTGAATCTTCAAAAGAGTTTTCTTATTACATGGCTACAAATGAAGAATTTATATTAGGAAAAGGTAGATTTTCAACTTTAAAAATTCACACCACATATTCACCCTCTAAAGCAGTAATTTTAAACATTTTGGGGATGTAGATTTTTTTTTTTTAGAATTGAATGAAAGCTATGGAAAGCTTCCCAAGAGAAGTTCAGTTATAGACAAAATTTAGCATATAATATCAGAAGGTTCCTGGACTCCCCCTCAAAGCTATTCTTGTAGCCAAAAATGTTAAGAACTCAATCTTAATTAATGCATTACCACTGGAAAAATGAGACTCTTTAGTCAAGTAATTGGAATGCTTTTATTAACATTTATTGGTAATAAAGAAACTGAAGAGATAATTGCTTCCTCTGTGGAAAGCTTTAGGATTTATGTATGAAATGTTGGCGTGGGAGAAATGTGAGGCTTGTCACAAAGAGAGCAGCACATTTGAGGATTTGAAAAATAACCCCAACAGAATTATTGGTTAGTTTCAGAACAGAGATTATTTTTAAAAGAATATTGATGAATACTTTGATAATCAAGTCTCTTAAATGCTGAAATTTCATTCCCTCTCATCAAATGGTCTTATATCTGTTATTTCCAATTGCCATAATGCTTAGAGTTTCCAAGGAGATAAGACAGGGGTTTCCAAGTGCAGGTACACTCTATTTCTGGCTGTAGTTTGACTCTTACCATTAAGTTAGGTTGAATCTCATAGAAAACTTAAAATTTATTTTACTTCCCCCAAATAAAACCAACCCATTAGAGTCTCCTTTTTAACTTTCCTGTGGAACCTACTTTGGCCCTGCTTGACCTTCTCAATATTATAGCCCTGCTTGACCTTCTCAATATTATAAATCTCATGGTAAGAAATAAAATAAAAGGAGCTTGATGTTTATAAGCAATGTCTTTTGAGCCTCAAAGTAAAGAGACGTTTTCTGATCATCATAGATGCCAAAGTAGCTGCATTGAGTAGTGATGAGCTCTTTGTCACCAGACTGGTGAGGAGGCCAGTGTACAGGGGGCTCAAGAAGTGAGTAATTAGTAAGTTCCTTGCATATCTGAGAATCTCTGATTCCAGGTCAAGCCCAAGGAGTATGCAGAGGTCAAAAGTCAGAATTCCAGAGGTCAGAATCAGTGAACATTTAAAGGAGTGCAGTGCTTTTCATTATCAGACACAGAGAGAAGCCAGGTAGAGCTGGCTGGTTGACTAAATGGGTTAGTGATGATGGTGATTATGGTAGTCACGGTGGTAGTGCTCTTGGTGGCGGCAATGGTGGCAGATGTTGTGGTAGAAAATGACAAAAGTAACATTTGTATTATACTTGAAAGTTTATAAAGCACCTTCACCTTAATTATCTCATTTCTTTATGTAAGAGGAAAGGATGGAGCCAGAAAATGGGCCTCAAACACGGACACACTTAAATTTTTTTTCTCAAGTATAAAAAAGTGAAAGCATTGAAGTCACTTGTGAACTCTGAGAAGTGGACTAAGAGGAAGGGAAATGTAGCTGCATGTGCTATGTACTTGAATTAAAGTCATATTCTGTGTTTACTGTCATTGGTACAGTTGTTCATACTCCTTGATCCGGGTTAATGTTCCTCAGGATTACTCCTTCATGTGTGTCTTCTGCTAACTGTATTTTTAACTATTGTCTCCTCTGTATTTGGCTACACTTAATATCTGATCTCCTGAGCTTCCTTTTAAAATGTGATTTTCAATGTATTCATGGTTTTAGTCATATACATTTATATGTATAAATATAGATATAAGTACCTATAAGGCTACCTAGTAGATGGAAATATGCATATAGAAACAGAGATGTATATGTAGATCTAAATGACCCAGATGGATACCTTGAAGATAGATAGATGAC